TTAACACAATCTTGGACAGGGCAATGAAATTGGTACACTATATTGGTCACTGTTAGTTTAGATTTTTCATGTATGCACACATGGAAATTAGCAGATTCAATAAAAATTTCTTATTAAATCAAAGGAATGAATTAAGAGTAAATTGTAAACATAGTTTGATCTTTGTTAAACTTTGGAATTTGATTATGCTTTTTCTTATATTTCAGTTGTACAGCGTTACACCATATATGGCTTATCTTTCTATTTGTAAGATTAATTTGGTTTTAATATAATTTTGTATTAACCTCCTGGTAATATGAGTAACATCTTGTACAGATGTATTGGTATTTGGTTGCTATTTTTGACATTTTATTTTGATTGGTTATTGTTACTAACATCTTATATGAAGAATCTTTATTCAAAAGTTGCATATTAATTTACCAAATAATTCTTTACGTTTAAATTATTTACTGAAAAGCTATTTATCTATTAACTATGAAAAAAATATACAGGAAACTCACAAAGTAGTATTTTTTTTTAAATCACCGCTCCCTCCGAATTTTATTTTTTAGGACATGACATTGTCTAGTTTGTATAATTTATGTATCCATTTGCATCCGCTCCTGTTTATGTCTGGCTGCCGTTAGCTGCCAATCTACTGATCATGACAAATTTATAAAAATTAATTTTTAAATGTTTTCTTCTTCGCTTAGTTTAAATTTAACGTAGGTCATATTTGATTGGTTGATCAGAGTAAAGCTCACAAACCTTATAACCCCCCTTTTTTTCGTTCAACACTCGGAGGTGACACACTGTTTCCTGATAAACGAATTTGGGTTTAGCATGAAACAGTCTGTCGCTTCTGGTTATTGACTTCAGTGTTCACTTTTATATTTACATACGCTCTAACTCCTATATTGACCACTTTATCCCATAAATATAGCACACCTTAAAAAACTATATTTATATATATATATATATATATATATATATATATATATATATTAATTCAAATTTATCTGTATCTCACTCGTTTAAACTGTCTTCTAACTTCTCTTTAGAATATCTCTCTATTAAATTTTAATTCCCACCTTCACTTTTAGGCCTTCCTGTTCTTCTCTCGTCTGTTACCCCCCTCTAGAACTTTCTTTTACCTCTCACATTCGCCCCCGACTCTCATACATACACTCTCGCTAAATTTTATCTTTTTTTTCCGGAGTTGTTTTTCTGATTTCTTTTTGAATTTGTAGGTCTGATGAATTGGATCGTAATTACGATTCCAATGTAATAAATTATAACCATGGAATATTAGGGTTTAAGCCTTTTTATTATATCCTTACTCTGTCCTGTACATTGAGTTCTACATGGATTCTATCCTCTTGGAATTTTTTATATATATTTGTATATGTATGTACGTATGTATGTATATGTATGTATTTATATATATATATATATATATATATATATATATATATATATGTGTGTGTGTGTGTGTGTGTGTGTGTGTGTGTGTGTATGTATTAATTACTAATATTTTTTATATATATATATATATATATATATATATATATATATAAGTGCGTAAGTATGCAGAAAATAGAAAAGAACACGTTGGGTGCATAATCCGGAGTTCCTTAGTAATTTTGTTTTTATTTTTTAAGAAGATAGTGCTCCATACAGAAGTAGTGCTTATATTATAATATTTGTTTTTAAACAAAAAAATATTATAATATAAGCTCTGCTTCTGTATGGAGCACTATATATATATATATATATATATATATATATATATATATATATATATATATATATATATATATATGCATCCCTGAAGATTTTTAATAATTTATTTATAATATTGGTTAGTTTTTTTTATTTTTTTTTCCTTTTTCTCTTGAGAATAGGTAAAATTAACGATGTGGTCCTCGTATTGAAAAGTTTTTTTTTTTAAACCTCTGGGGTGGCTGCTTGTTGAATTGAAGTTTCTCGAATCATCTTGCCTTTCCATTGTAATTAAAATCGTGACCACGGTTTTACAGTCGATCAAACTCAGCCTAAATACTAACCCTTGAGTTACAGTCTTTTCCTATTTGCATAGATTTTATTAGCGGGTTGTCTTTGTCAGCCCTGAGCCAAACAGGACGAATTACAAACACAGGATTTCACCCTGATCGCTGTCGAACGTTGCAACCAGGGAATTCTCCGTCCAAACACAGCTCTCTAATTATATTGACTTTTGTACTTTAAATAAAGTCTGCTTGCCTCACAACTCAGAAAGAGGCTTTGCTGAAACGTAAGACGCATCAGAATAAACTAGAGTTAATCACCTGGACATTAAACTAGAGTTTACATCCAAGTTTCACGGAACAATCAGAATTCTATTAACGGTGTCAATGATCGCTGTTCGAGCTCTGGTTAAAGAGCTGCATTTCGAAAGCTGTCTTGTTATCAATTCAACCTAAGCTAGGCATTAACGCCACTAAGACGCAAAGGGTTAATGGGAGAGAAAAAGAATGAAATAAGAAAAACTTTAGAAAGAATCGGAAAACCAATCCTAAACAGGAAACAAGGTGATAAGCCTTTTGTCTCTTCAAAAGTCCAAGGAAGAATGTGAACCAGGTGATAGGTGAACACATCTACTCATATTGAAGAAAACATCGTGTGTAGGCGGACACCTTAGATGCATGGAGCTGAAGTAAACTTTACAAGGAACCAGAAACCCAATCCTAAAGAGGAAAGAAGGGATAAACTTCTATTACTGTTCAAAAGACCTAAATTGGAAATTCATCTCTTATGCTGAAAGAAAGCCCAAAACATTACACACATACATATATATAGATCCATGCATATGAGTGTGTGTGTGTGTGTGTGTGCGCGCGCGCGCGCGCCAAAATTCAGGTATAAATAAAATATTTTTAAAAAGGCAATATGAATTATCAATGTGTTTCGCACTTCGATTGACTTTATCAAGATAAATATTTGCCTTAATAAATTCCATCAGCGTTGATAAAAACGTTCTTATATATATATATATATATATATATATATATATATATATATATGTGTGTGTGTGTGTGTGTGTGTGTGTGTGTGTGTGTGTGTGTGTGTGTGTGTAAGCAAATATATGAATATAGATCCGACAGTATGAAGAAAAATATACTGAAAAAGCAATAAAAATCCTAATATGCGATTATGCTGTTTTAATGTTTAATGTCAACGTCGGACGTTTCGGTCTAATAGACCATCTTCAGGACATATTCATAAAACATAATTAAATAGACCATATACAATTCAGCATGAAAAAGACGATGACATAAAAGCAATACCAATCAAACAGATAACTGAAATCTTTTATAAGATCAGCGTTCCGTTTAAATATGAACGTCGTCTTCACGTAAAAGATTTCAGTTATCTGTTAAGATTGGTATTGCTTTTATGTCCATCGTCTTTTTCATGTTGAATTGTACATGGTCTATGTTAATTATGTTTTATGAATATGTCCTGAAGATGGTCTATTAGACCGAAACGTCTGACGTTGACATTAAACATTAAAACAGCATAATCGCATATTAGGATTTTTTGTTTGTTTTTTTCAGTATATTTTCATATATATATATATATATATATATATATATATATATATATATATTATATTATGTTAGGTTAATCTACGAGTTCTATTATTACCCTCTACCTGCTGCATGCTAGGGTTATCAGCGAATAAATTGGTTCACCCACCTGTTTTTTTTTTCTGTTGAGGAGTATGGATAGACACCCAGCCGGATTAAAAGCAAGAACTATCTAAGGGCGGGTTAACATTCTTATAGAGTCTACATACATTTAGTAAAATATAGTAGACTTCGTTCCATGGCTACTTGCAGCTAATGCAAGGATGACACGTCATCACTGGTTTGTGGGCTTCCAAGATAGAAGTCAACAGTTAGGACGGAAGTTTCTCCGGTTTAAATCACTGGTCATATGTCCTTGTTCAAGCCGAGCCTTCAAGTTGGGAGACATTGGCTGTAGTCAAATCTGGAGTGGAATAGGCCCCGTCAAGTTTACTTACCCAAGACACACTAAGCATGAATACTTCCCCATATGGACGGATGATGATGATGATAATGACGATGACAATTATAACGTGTCATATTTTTGCATTATAAATCGACACTTTTTTTTATTAAGAACAGTGTGGTCCGAAAGTCGTGTCATCCTTAGCAATATCTTTCCTTTCAAAAGATCTGCTTTGCCGAAGTCTTGCAGTGAAGTCATGTCACACAACCTCCATGATCTTACCAGAATGCACACAATCAGGGGACCATACAAATGCAAGCAGTCTATCTTCCAAAATGCAGGAGTTCCTGTCAATCATCTGAAATAGAAAATTATGTTATGTAGGTGTGACAAAACTTTCGGACGACCCTGTATATTTACCAAAGTACAATGTATTGCCTCAGTGTAAAACTAAACTACAGTTAGTAATATATATATATATATATATATATATATATATAGCTATATATATATATATATATATATATATGTGTGTGTGTGTGTGACGAAATGTGAAAATGTGAATAAATTTATTTACCTTGTTGGTTATGTTACTGGTAAACTTAGCCACTTCCTTATAAGGTAACAGTTAATTTTACCAGCATTCAACATTTATTCAAGTATAGAGATTATTGCTAATGGTTATAGTAATATTCGCCGTTTCCTTATAAGGAAACATTAGATTGTTTGGTTGGATGATTTGTTCAGCGCCATGTCGACCTCTATGTTTATTTAATGCCGAAATCTAAATGTTTTGCAATTAAATTTTTATTTTATTTTTTGGTGATAATAATAGTTTAGTGATACAAGTCTTCTTGACTCATGGCGGGGGGAGGGGGCGCAGAAGTTGTGGATTCATGGCTTTCCCAAAATTATTTGCGCGTAAGTGAATATAACGAACCCAACTGGAATTGGAACTCAGCTCCCCTATTAACAACGCCGAGCAATTATCCATTACACATCCAAACTTACAACAGCTGGTATTTCTAAACGGTCACCCATTCAGCTACTAAACAGGATCAAGGTCGCTTAACATCGGTGATCGTACGTGAACCGGTGTTTGAACGTGATGTGGCCGTGATTCGGAAACATTAGGAATTCATTAATTGATCAGCCAATGCTACTGTCGGTTGAAATTTATAAAATCTTTTTTTCTTGAAACAGTCCTTCAGAAAAATTAGATTGTCCAAGTCCAGTAGCGATTATCGCTCTTTCTAGTACTGATCTCTGTTTTCTTTTGTCTGAAATAATATGGTGAAAGCAACATCTTGATTGAGTCATTATCTTCTCTTCGGGTGACATCTGTCATCCATTTTAGTTGCTGTTGTTGAAAATCATCAAGTGGTGTGGTTTCTGTTATTTTGCACATTTCTTTGTGATTCTGTAGCGTCCGTCCACAAGGTTCGAAGTAATGTGATATTCACCAAGACCCATAGGCTTCAATTGCTCAATCATGTTAACCATTGATCTGAGGGAACAGTTGTATACAGCTGACAAAATTGGCGCCATGCATGGCGTCCATATTAAAGTCTCAATCTGACGAGGCCTTCATTTTGGTAACAAAGAAAAGAATACTGAGCTGTTACGTGATATCTGTTCTACTTTAGGGCAACGAATGTTGGACGATTCCCTCAAAGATGAAGAAGAGACTCGAGGCGACGGGGATGTGGTTCTACAGAAAGATGCTAAGGATATCATGGACCAAGCGTATGAGCAACGATGAGGTCTTAGAGAGGTTGCAAACAAGGAGGAGGCTTATGCTTAACATCACAAAGAGGCAGCTGAATATTCTGGGACACATAATGAGGAAGGAGCGCCTGGAGAATCTGATACTCACAGGTCAAATAGAGGGAAAGAGAGGCAAGGGAAAGCAGCGCGTGACATGCCTGACGAGCTTGAGCAGCTAGAAGACAGAACGTGGTCTGGGGGGAGAAAGAAGAGGGAAGGAAATTGTTGAGAGCTGCAAGGGATAAAGGGAGGTGGAGAGCCATGATCGCCTACGCCCCGAAAGGACATGGCACATAGAAAGAAAGAAACTCGCGGCGTTCAGTGAAACATTGATTTCTTTATTGCCTATGCTTAATTTGTTAATCAAATATAGGTTTATTCGGCATACAACTTACATATACTTATATATACCCCTTTGTGCAAATTAATTAAAACAAAACGAATAATTTCATTATTATTTAGTTTTTTCTTATTTTTCCAATGAAAGATGACCCAGTGCAGATGTTAGCACTTCGTATGTCCATTCCACGAAATCGTTCCTTGCAGATTGACCACAGATCCTTGATTGGATTTAAACCAGGAGAGATCCAGAACCAGTCTATAGTACTTTGATTTGCTTATTGGTAAGGCCTGTCAGTGTGTTCGTACAGCGTTACAATTTTCGTACGCTTCTTTGAAGTAACGCCCGTCGCAGACAATAGTCGTAGGACAACTAATCGACAGTCGAGACAATAGTGTCTGGGCGTGATCTGATGCAATCACAGATGATGCAAGGTCTATCAATGCCAAACAAATTTTCTTCATACACCCCGAAAATAGATTCATATTACTGCACACCACTGCAAATGACCTAATCTGAGAAAAAATAGAAATCGATTACACCCTGTTACTCCAGTGGGTTTAAAACTGACCGTATGGTGAAAGAAAGGAAACTAAAGCTGTTGATTCAATTAATTTGCACAAGGGTGCACTTTTATATATACTAGAAATAAAAACTAATGTTAGACTTTGCATAATAAAATGTGACACTCCCAAAACAATTTACTAATATTTTTAAGAATGATCTAAAAGCTGGGTATGACGATAAGCTACATCCGACAGCAAGGCCTCTGACCAGGAGGTTTTGTGGAACCACCCCTTACTTGCTGTTGCTAACAAGTTCACCCTGACCCGGGATGGTAGCACCTGTTAAGGTCCCAGCTATGGGCAAATAGTGAACACCTCGAAATGGGGTGAACACACTATGAAACCATAAAAATAGATTTTTATAGTAAAAATACCAGCATAGAAAAATTACCATTTTTTGTAAAAAAAAAAATTAAATTAGCAACAATACATTTTTGTAAAGAAAATTAATAATGCTCCCAAGAAAATTAAATGACCCATAAGGAGTTGATATACTGCTAAACAAACAAATTATTATCTAGAATAAAAGGTGAAACATACACAATACTCTGTCCCTATAAATAAAAGTATTTTGTAAAAGTTTTACAAAATTCCGTTGATTATTTTACGTATTTTCCGGATTAATTTACGCATTTTCCGGATTAAAAGACCTACTACTTTTCTAAAAATTACCCCGAAAAAATGCGTCTTCCACGACGAATTTTAGACAACGCCCAGATTCAAGTTAGCTTGGACGGTCACCTAATTGACTTATAGAGACGTGATTTGTATGTTGAGTCATTACACTATAATGTTTGCTATCTATCTGATTCAGCCTTTTATATGCTGTAACCTCAGTACTTAGCTGCTACAAGTATTTCCAAGACTATAAACCTTCCTGGAGCCGAGCCACAAGGTTAAACATGCTCTGCTTACTAGCAGTGGTACGAGCCTTTCTGCTCTTGATTAATATGTCATTGCCATACAAACAAAATCGGACAAGTGATTAATGTAAACAATACGTGGCGCCAGTATGTGAGGGACGCATGGTGATTGTGTTGTTGTCTGAAAATGACTTTGTTTTTTCTTCTATGCCGCAGCGTCTTGTAAGCCGGAAAATACTGTAATTCGATTGTAAAAATACAAGTTTGCGTAATAAAATGTGACATTGTGTATCTGCTCAAATATGTTCCACAAAGAAAGTCGCCTATATAAACCTAGCCAAACTTTCCAAAAAACGTTTATTTTTTTTTAAAAAAAGAGTATTTCATAATTAAAGTGTATTATTTCTTTTAAAATTTTTAATTGATTGTTGAGTCTTTTTCCTTCCGAAATTTAATTTTTAATGACTAAATAATAATTACTTCTTTTCTGAGCCTTAGGAAAATATAATTTTAATCGAGTATTTCAAAATATACTCGTCGATCGCCATCAACAAATATTCATAAGTTTTTAAGTATGTATATGTGTGTGTATATGTGTGTGTGTGAGATATATATATATATAGAGAGAGAGAAATGGTGGGGAAAAGATGCGAGAGGAATACTTGAATTTAAAACCTCGAAAAACAGGAAAATGATCAAGACGAGTTGCTTTAGGAGAAGAAATATAATTTTATATTTTGCTAAACACTCTGCGAAATCGTTACACTGCCCTCCCCACCCCACCCAACATTTTTCATGATATTTCAATTAATAAATACGAGGTATTCAAACAGATTTGATAGAAAACAATCACTTACCTGGAGACGAGTTGTTTTCTGGTATGTCTATACCAGAAAACAACTCGTTTTATAAAACAAAGATGGAGAAAATGAGATGAAAAACGAAAAAAAAAAAGTTTCAACGCAGAAGTAAAAAAGAAAAGAAATTGAAAAAAAGTGTATAAAAAAAGGGCAAAAAATGGGAAAAGGGAAATAAAAAAAACTAGAAAGAATAACGAAAAATAAAGAAAAGTGGATTAAAACGTGTTTTGTAGCATACCTACGAACGATAATGGATATGTCCCCCATTCACATAAATACAGTAGTAAATACTGTATGTTGGTCTGCATTCGGAGATTCGTATCCTGCTGTGCTGGTCAAACTCTCTGCCCCCGGGCTGAAAGGATCCCCAGACGAGGCTATGTCGAAGGGCAGAGTTTCGTCTCGGGAAAACAGCTACCCGACCCCATTTTATACTGGGTATACGGGGAATTTTTGTCCAAGGCTACGGGCTCGGATACCTCACATCAAATTCGGCTTTGTGCCGCATTTGACAGCGTAGGGCGGTTGGTAGATATCCTGCAGTTGGAGATTCGTCTCCAGCTGTGCTGGTCAAATTCTCTGCCTCGGGGCAGAGCGGTTCCCCAGTCGAGCAGAGTCTAGTCTCGGGAAACAGCTACCCAACCTCGTTTTATACGCGGTCTACGGGAAATTCTTGGCCGAGCCTACGGACTCGGATACCCCACATTAAATTCGGCCTTGTGCCACATCTGACCACGTTGGGCGGTTGGGAGATATCCTGTAGTGGTAGATTCATTGTGGAATTCACTTGACTCCCTTCTAGGAGTTGACGACTTTCTTCTACGCGCCGCTAGCGAATCTTATATGTGTTGTTCGTGTCCTAAATATTATCGTTCATTACCAACCTTCGTGTGATTATTCTATTCAATAACCTTCCCTAGGTTACAACAATGTAAGTGCAGCCAAGAAAATCGAATGTAAAATAGGACGAAGGGAGTATTGAAAAGCGACGAATTGACGGATAAGAAAAGAACAGCAACAAACCGGAAGTAATGTTAATTGGAGCATGCGTAGGAAAGAAGAATATGAAGAACAAAAAGGAAGTCAGAAGAAGAATAAGAAAATAGTGTAAAGAAGGGAAAATGTAAAGAAAAAGAAAAGTAGGAGAAACTGGTGTGAAGAAAGAAAAAGTGTAAAGAATAAGATGTAAAGAATAAAGAGAAGAGGTATAAAAAGAAGAAAAAGTGAAAAGAAAAAGAAAAAAGGGTGAAAAGAAGAAGAAAATCGTATAAAGAGTAAAAAAGATTAAAAAGAAGAAAACAGTGCAAAGAATAGAGAAATGTGTAGCGAAGAAGAAAAAATATGAAGAAGAAAACAGTGAAATAAAGAAACCGGTGTAAAGATGACGGTGTAAAGGAGAAAAAGGTATAAACAGAAGAACAAGTGTAAAGAAGAAGAAAAAGAGCGAAGAAAAAAAAGGTGTGAAAAAGAAAAGAGGTGTAGAGAAGAAAAAGAAAAAGTGGAAGAAAAAAAAAGGTGTAAATATGAAAAAGAAGAAGAAGAAGCACAAAGAAGTAAAAAAGCTGTAAATAATAAAATAAAACGTGCAAAGAAAAAAGATGTAAAGAAGAAAAAAGGTGTGAAGAAGAAAAAAAAGTGAAGAAGAAAAAAGATACAAAACAGAAAAAGAAAAGTGTAAAGAAGAAAACAGTACACAGTTGAAGACAAAAGGTGTAAAGAAGAAGAAGAAGAAGAAGAAACGCAAATAAGACGTGCGTAAAGTAGAAAAAACAGTGTAAGGAATAAGAAATAAAGATAATAAAAGAATAATAAAATAAAATAAAAAAAGAATAACGTGTAAAGTAGAAGAAAACAATGTAAGGAAGTCGCAAAAAGTATACAGAAAAAGGTGTAAAGAATAAGAAAAAGGTATTACTCTACTCGGAGCAGTGCATACACCAGGGATTGAAACCCCGATCTTGCTGGAAAAACAACGAATTTTCGAAACAGAAATTAACATTTATCTATGTTTCTCTTTCTATCCCAATCACTTTCTCTTCCTCTCTCTATTCCCATTATTCTCACCCTTTCACTTTTTCTGTTTAACTTTATTACATATTGAGTTAATCTTCCAGGCTGTCTTCACTGAGATTTGAAAGCGGTTCGATCGTTCTGTTTATCCTGTTGATGAGCATCGCATCATTTTGCACTCCTTAATTTATTTTCTAATGCCAAAAGTCTCTTATAATTTCTCCACTCCTTTAAGGACAATTGTGAAAGCTCAATGAAAACACCATTTTCAATAGATATTTAAAACACAAGAAAGCACAGAATCGTATTTCTTGGTCTATGAGTCTATTAATATGTCCAGCCTACGCATGGTTTCTGTAGATCACTCGGTTCCCACGGCGACTCAATTCATGCAGCAAGGATCAGTTGAAAAAAAAAAGTCTCTTTCGCTGAGATCAGAGTTAGTCAAATATTTGAGACGCCGCACACAATCTGCTTCACTACGAATAGGCGAATTTATCACCAACTTTAAACAATACCACAGTCGCTTGACTGAAAACCGGTCTCGAGAGTTTTCTATTTTCGGATTTTTGAATGCTTTTACCGGGTCGAATAAATAAAATGTCAGCCGCTCGAACTGTGCTGCTTGATATAAATTAACAGATCAACTGCCAACGACGAGATAACTCGTGGCTGGCAGTATTTATATTATGACGCCGACTACTTGTTGTTTTGTGCAAACAACGAGTTTGTTGTTAGCAAAAGGATGAATTTTGCGAATTGCAAATCGGTGATACCAAAATCCAACTAGTAAAAAATATTTAAATATCTAAGAAGTGTTTTAACACGGGACGGCAAATGCGGCACTGAAATCCGAGGGCGCATTGGGATAGCCAAAGATGCCTTCCAAAAACTAAGCACAGTATTAAAAAATAGAAAAAAAAATGCTAGAAACAATGAAAAGAGTACTAAAATATTACGTGATATCTGTCTTACTTGATGGTAGTGAGTGCTGTAGAATCTCTTCAAAGATGAAAAAGAAACTTGAAGCTATAGAAATGTGGTTCTACAGAAGGATGCTATCGGTGTTTATAAAATTAATCTTAAAGATACTAACTCCTTTCAGTCTTTTTAAAATGTATATAATTTAATGTAAATCCTTTAAAATAATTGCTTTAAAATTTAAAACATTCTTTCTCACACAGACGCACGCGCCCGCTGATTCTTTTAAAAAACTGAAAATTACTTGAAGATTGTATTAGAGGTAGAAACTTTATCAGGAATTCGATAAAAAGAAAATACAGCAGACATATACGAGAACTTGAAAAATATATTCGTAACAGATGATTTTAGAAAAATTAAATACAGCATCGAACACTGGTGGGAGAGAAACGAAATATTGTCAGCTGTTTTTAATATTTTTTTTCTAATTTTCGTTTGTATTCTTTCTGTCCAATTTTTAGGAGTGTAACAGCATAATTGTCCAAATCGTGTAAAAGCAAAATTGTCCATTTGCTAGATTAAGCTTTGAACCGTTGTATCTTAGAAATGATTAAAGATATCTTACTGGAATTCTCCGGGTTTTTTTTATAACACTATTAGACTCTACTTTGGGTAATAAGAATGTATAATTACTCTCCAAGCTTAAGAGAAGAATCGTGATGAAATCATTCATAAACGAAAATGACATGTTCATCATTAATTGACCATAGCCAAGGATCGGAAGCACATGAAGAATTGAAATAAAGTTCAAATACACACACACAGACACACACACGCACACACACACACACACACACATATATATATACATATATATATATAAATATATATATATATATATATTACACGAGGATCATTTTCCCATTTATTCAAGATGATCTTTGCCCTCTCTAACATTCTAACTTTTTGTCCTGGTGTAACAAGTTGCATCACTTACGATTTCATTTTCAAGTCTTTTTTCACTGCTCTTTGGACTGTCATAGCTGAAATTTCTCTCTCACGTGCCAACACGTCCTATGGGTTTCTTTTTTAATTGATCTATTTAGCTCTTAGTTGAAATGATAATCCTTTTTCCTGCTGATCCAGTTTTCCTCTCTACTGTTCCCTCTTTTTTAAACTTATTCACCATTCTCTTGATGGATCTTGAATGGACTTTGAAGATGGAGGCCAGAGTGTGAATGTTGGTAGCATTACTGAAGACCTGAATGATCATTTTCCTCTCACTATTGCTCATTTGGGAGGACAGTGGTGCTCACACAAAACGATTTTAAACTTTTCTCTTTCTAGTTGAATAACTCAAAGGGTTTTTCCAGGGATTCGTACGACAAATGGTGTCAAGATGGGTAAATATCTGATCTGAAACCCTGGAAAAAAGAAACTCAATTAGTTTAGTGTTTTTTAAGATATTAAACTTTTTTTTTTGTGATGGACAATTATGCTGTTACACGATTTGGACAATTTTGCAGTTACACGATTTGGACAATTTTGCAGTTACACGATTTGGACAATTTTGCAGTTACACGATTTGGACAATTTTGCAGTTACACCCGATAAGTATACATGTCTTAATATATTTTTGACGAGAGAAGACCGATGACCGGTGAGCGAATTCTAATATTCTTTTATTTTTTCTGTTTTCCGCGTTGCCATTTCTGCAGCTGTGTTTTATTATTATCCGATTTATTCTTTTCCTGCTGCAGTGAGGGAATCTATCTCTTCTGTCTGCAACAGCTATGAATTTAATAGAAACGTATAGAATGTTTTCTATCCTTGGGTGCAATCAATCTAAGAGAAAGACAATTCTAAATTCAGAACTTTAGAGATGGCAACTGGGCACCACTATATTTCTAAAAACAAAGTCATGGCAATTCACAGACAATAAAGAAATAGAATTTGTGGATGCCCACGATTGCCTACGACCTGAAGTGACATTCATATTTTGAATAAAATCCACCAGGGAAACGCGAATTCTTTCCTAAGTCATGGGGATTAACTGATAATAAGGAAAAGGGAGTCTGTGGAGAACCATGATTGCCTACGCCTTGAAGTGGCATCATATTTTAAAGAGTTGGTTTGGTTTGGTTTGTTTTATAGCATCTCAACCTCAATGTGTCATTTAATGCCGATAACTTTTTTTAGGATAGATTCGTATGAATAGAATACGTATTTTTTGGTTTAGATTAGTTTGGTTTATTTTGTTTAACGACACATCAACCTCAATGGGTTATTTAATGCCGATAACTTTTTTTTTTCCTGGTAATAGTTTTGTTTTGTCAAAAATCTATTTCTGGTAATATTATTTTTCCAAAATGTATAGCTGATAATATTATTTTTCAAAAACGTATAGCTGGTAATATTATTTTTTCAAAAATGTATAGTTGCTAATGATATTTTTTTAAAAACATATAGCTGGTAATATTATTTTTTCAAAAACGTACAGCTGGCAGCATTATTTTTTCAAAAACGTATTATCAGAGGTCTTGCTGTTGGGCGTAGTTTATCGTTTTACCCAGGACGCGGATGTAGTTTATCGTCATACCCAGGATGCAGATGTTGTCTATCATCATACCCAGAGCGCGGATGTTGTCTCAGTGTTAACTATTTGCCCATAGCTGGGAGCCGTAACAAGTGCTACCCCACCCCAGGTCAGGGTGGACCTGGGAACACCAGCAATTAAGAGGTGATTCCATGCTCCTCAAAACCTCCTGATCAGAGGCCTTGCTGTTGGACGTAGTTTATCGTCTTACCCAGGACGCGGATGTAGTTTATCGTCATACCCAGGGCGGGATATATCAATGTGGACTCTATTTCAACAGCATATGGATATACGAGGGTAGCGAAGCAATCCCTTACATCTTAGTGGCTTTACTGCATTGCATGGGGTGAAATTAAAAATAAAAGATTGTTTTTTTTTTTTTAGGTTGTCTTTGTCTATGGATATCTCGTCTTGTTCCTTTTTCATAGTGTTTTTACCACAGTTTCGGGTGTAAATGTTTGCCCATAGCTGGGACCCTAACAGGTGGTACCACCCCGGGTTAGTGGAGACCTGGGAACACCAGCAATTAAGATGTGGTTCTACGCTCCTCATAACCTCCTGATCAGAGGCCTTGCTGTTGGACGTAGTTTATCGTCTTACCAAGGACGCGGATGTAGTTTATCGTCATACCTAGGACGAAATAAAGAGGTGTGGAGATCCATCATCACTTACGTCTTGAAGGGACATGACATTTTAAATAAACTTATCCAAAGAAACTGAAAACCATTTCCATTTCTTTGCAAATAATTCACGGTAATTCATAGATAATAAATAATAGGAAAGTGTGAAGAGCCATTATCTCCCACGTCCTATAAATTAAGATAGGGAGAAACTTATATAATCAGTATCATTTTTTTGTCCTATTTTCAGAGTTTCTTCTTTAACAGTAGAAACGGACAAATTTGTAGTTGCTAAATTCAACAAAATAAAAGAATAAATAAAATCTGACGTGCGAAATACCTAGCCTTTTTGACACCGGATTTCTCCAACTAATTCAGTAGAGAAAAATGTTTTTATTCTTGATTTTATCGCTTTAACCCGGAGCATTTTAGTCCCTGCAACGCAAAGACCGATAGTATTTATTTGAATTTTCTCATCATCTGTCGTCATTTCGAGTTGACACAATAGACGGAAAACGACGTCCCGAGCCTACTTGTCGCCGCATTGTACGAAGCGAAATCTTCTGACTTTAATAATCGATAAAAGCCAGTTGTCGTGAAAAGGACCAATTGGCCATCACTGTTTATCTTAGTTAAATCATTGAAAAAGTTTCATTATCATCTTGGATTTTCAAAGAGATAATGATTACCTTAATCAAAACGTGTCTAGGTCCTTGTAGAATGTTGCTGTTGCTATTATTTAATTGAAAATAACAGGTTTCTGTTACGGTAAACTTAGGTTGAACCAAGAAATGACAAAATCCTGCCGTTTTGGTCAGAACTCTGACAACCTGGACTGAGTTGTGGAATCTT